AAAATCCTTTTTGAGTTCTTCTATGAATTTTTGTTGGGCTTTTGTCCAATTCACATTTTTCTTTGAGGCTTTGCTTGTAGATATTGTGACAGCATTGTCTTCGGAATCTGTGTTCCCTGTCACCATAGTAACTTTTTATAATCAGGTTTCTTTTTTTTTTGGTTGTTGTAGTTTGCCCATTTTTCCAGTCTATTTCTTGACTTTGAACTTTATGTTAAATTTAGCCTTTGTTCCAAAGGTGGTGGGGGCACTGTCTCAAGTTTCACATTTTTCTTGTTGCTATTTTCAGAGCTGGTTCTGAGGGTTTATAGGTTTATGGTGCTTCCAAGGTGGTATGAGTTAAGGAAAGGTGTGGTCACTGCTCTCCTGGACTGTTCTCTGGTCTTACCCCAGAAAGGGACCTTGTTCCCCTGAAGCCATAAATTCTAGTACTCTTCTTAGCCTTGGAATGATGACTGGGTCCCCTGCTCTTCTGAAGCCACAATCACTAGTGCTCCTTTCTGCCTTGAAATTGAGACCATGGTTCCTACTCCCTTGTGAGTGATCATAAGCACTCTTCTCTCCCTGGGACCATGACAAGGGCTCCTATTTCCCTGTAGTTGCAAGCCCTTGTGCTCCTCTTTGCCCTGGGGCTGCAACCTGGAACTCTGAATGGACAATTCAACAGGGCCCTGAACCCAGTACCAGCAAAGGATCTCCTCTAATCTCTTTCTGATCAGTTGTTCAACCCCCTTGCCATCTGCAGGCTGAGAGCTCCCAAAAGCTGTTGCTGCCATAAATGTAGCTACCTCCAAGGCCTACTGCTAATGCTTCAACTTGGCCTATACTGCACTCCAGGCCAACCACCACCCTGGTGTGGCAGACATTTCTTGCTGATGTCCTAAGTTTTCTTGGGCTGGAAAACTGTTTCACCTAAACTTATGTTGGTTCCACTGCTCTAGAATTCATTTTGAGGCATTATTTTTAAATCATTTGGAGGGGAACTTGGAAGAGTTCATGTAAGGTGCTGCTCCTACTCTGCCATCTTGACTTCTTAATTGTCTTTTTATTATTTTCTTGCATCATTTCTTTTCCCAATTCTTCCTCTACCACTCTTATTTGATTCTGAAATTTATTTTTAGCTTTTCTGGAAATTTTTGCTGGGCTTGTGTCCAATTCACATTTTTCTTTGAGGCTTTGTTCATAGCTGTTTTATCATTGTCTTCTGAGTTTGTATCTTGCTCTTCCCTGTTATCATAGCTTTTCATGATTTTTTTTAATTGTTTGCTCATTTTTCCAGTCTATTTCTTGGCTTTGAACTTTATGTTAAAATTGGCCTCTGTTCCTGGAGGGGGTTGGGGGAGGAGGGAAGGAGGGCTTTGGAGAGGCAATGTCCTAAGCTTCAGGAATTTTTACACTGTTGTTTTCAGAGCTAGTTGTGGGGGGTTGGAATTTCTCAGTGCTTCCAAGGTGGTGTCATCTAGAGAGAAGTGTGGTTACTGCTCCCTTGCAACCAGGAGCAAAACTGCTCCCTGGGGCACTAGAGGCGATGGAGTTGCCAAAAAGCACCCTCTCCTGCACTCAGGGCTGACACTGCAGTCTCTTTCTGACCAGTTACCCAATCTCCTAACCATCTGTAGCTTAAGAGCTCCGGAAGCTGCTGCTGCTCCAGTTGCTACCTCCAACCCCACAGCTAGAGTTGTCATCATATGTGTCCTAGGTCAGCCCCCCTTGCAGTGTCACAGACTTCTTCCAACCTCCTAAGTTGTCTTGGGCTGAAAAAGTGTCTCACCCCAACCTTTTGCTGACTCTGCCACTCCAGAATTCAATTTGACGCGTTATTTTTAAATTCTTTGGAGAAGAATGTTGGGATAACTTGGCTATTTTCTCTATTCTGATATCTTGGCTCCACCCCAGGCCAGTGATTATTAAAAAGATTAGTTTCTATAAATTAAATCAAGGATTATTAACATTATCCTTATAATCATTTGCTTTTTTGTTTCTTCGTCTTCTAGAAGTAGTAGAAACTCTGGTATGTTGAAAGCTGAGAGGGACTTCTCTTGGAATCATAGAACAGGATGAAACTTCCACTACCTGTCTAGTTCAATTTCATGAAGGAATTTTTGTAATCCATCCCCCCACCTCCCACTCAAAAAAAAAAAGTCAATTAGCCATTTCTTCAAAAGGCCTTTAAAGAATGTTCCATAGTCCACCTTGAAAAGAATTCCAGTACTTCTTGACTTTGTAGGCTTAAGACTTAAAAATTATTTTAGCCCCTTCAAACCTTCAATCTAAAGGGACACAAAAAGCTACACCAGCTTGATATGGGCAAAATAATAACCCTGCAAATAGAAGGGTGGAAAAAAAAAACAACACCCTAATGTTTTAATGTGTTTTTTTGCTCATTTAACACCACATCATCATAACATATTCCTTCCCTAGTTAAGAAAAAACAGACTCTTAGCTATAGTATCTTCATCTCTAAAATGAGGACATTATACTTAATGCTATCCATGGTCCCTTTTATCTCCAAATATATGATCCTATGATCCTGTATTCCAAGTGATTAGGAACATCTCAAGATGGAAAACCCAAGGTAGTATCATGGACAAACTCTGTGTTGGGTCTGAGGGGTTGCAGCAGGGTGAAGTGGCTAAGATGTGTATTCAAATTCTGCCACAGACCCTTACTAGCTATGTGCCCCTGGACAAATGATTTAATATCTCTATGATTTAGTTTCCTCACCTGTAAAATGAGGAGGTTGGACTCTGGCTTCTAAATTTCCTTCCAGCTATGAAAGTATGATCCTATGAAACTTTAAAATGCGAAGAGGTGTGAACCACAAAGTCCAGGCAATGAGACAATGTTTCAGACCTAACAGCATTTAGCTCTTTCAACGGCTTAATGTCTCGGCCCCACCCATAGAAAAGGCAGCTAGACACCAGTTCAGCTGTTAGGCCTTAGTGGAAACTGAAAGGCTTCCTTATCAACCCAGCAGGCACTGAGTCTGAGAACTGAGAAGAAGGCAGAAGAGAAATCTTCTCCCTAAAGCCACAGACCTAACTGTGGCAGCTCACTGGCCCACCCCCTCCTCCCACAGCCCTCCCAGATGGCCTGGGAAAATGGTGAGGAAGTGGCTGCTTCTTTTATCTTACCACCACCTCTGCCTGTTTCATATGAACTTGGTTAGAAATACTCTCTTTAAGTCCTGTTCAAAAGCAAAATTCATTCAAGTGTGAATTTTCCCTTTGTCATAGTTTTTAGTGTTCCAGGAAAAGAAGCACCCAAAATCAAAAGGCATTCTAGTAGCGCTTTCTACCTCGGGGCAGGATGTTGCTGTTGTTGTTGTTATTGTTGTGTGTCCTTCTCAAAGAGGACCATGAAGTCAGGGAGGTGATGCCATGACATAAAAGTGAATTGGATTTAAGTGAAGCAGGGCTGTGCAAAGTCACCAGCCTCACTCTCTCCTCCAGAGTCATCTGGGTCTAGGGGCCAGATATGGATCAGGATGATTGGAGACGGCCCTGGGGGCAGGGCAAGACCTTGGCCTTTTTCAACTAAGGTCTTTAACAGGTCTCAGTTTGACTGAGGCAACAGGGCAGATTATGGAGTCTTCTTCGTGTACAGATATATGCTATCTACCTACTGCCATCAAAGTAAATGGCTAAATTAACTAAATTAATTAAACTAAATTAAATATAAAAGATGATAGATTCCAGTCCCCGTCTCTAACATGAACTGACTGTGTGACCCCAGTGAATCAGGCAACTCCCTAAGTCCCATATGCAGAGCCAGACACCACTGGTGAAGAAAGATCCTCCTCTGGGGGATGAGGACCCCAGTGAGATAACCAGAATGGGCAGAGAAAAGATAAATTCTTTACAAATGCCTCCTTCACTTTTTTTGGAACCACGCATGTTCTTGTATTAAATTCCTAATATTTCTCATGAACATCTGAAGTTTTTACCTATATGAAGCTTGGGGGGGAAAGATGTCTTTTTCTCCAGGTTTATTGACCTCAGAGAAGCTCAGAAACTTTGCTTTACAAAAAAATTCAGATCTCTTTCAAAGATTATTGACACTATTGTTGATCAACCTGGTTCTTGATGAGAGGTTTATTTGGCTACTGGAGAGGGGGCAACGAGCAGAAATTCCAGCATCTAGAGCCTTCACATTGATGAAAATATCACATAGCACAGTTTTTTATTGTAATTTGATTCTCATTTTACAGAGGGAAAAATTGAGGAACAGAGAGATGAGCAGCTGGTTCTTAGCTATATTTTAGACTAAACAAGATTATGCCTATTTCCATTTCTTCTCTTCCTCTTTATCTCCTGAAGATGATTGTGTTTCTCTAATTCTGTCTTCCATTATATAATCTGTTTGCATCCATAACATCTCTCTTTCTTTCCCCTCTTATGCTCTCCCTAATTGTTTCTTCCTGCTCAGTTCAACACAGTGTGTATTTCTCATACAATTTTTCTCGTTCCCCCCCACCACCACTTTGTTTCTTCCCCCACCCCACCTCCAGCCCTGCAACTTTTCATTCATCCTGCTGGCTAGCTACATTAGAACTGTTACAAGAACAAGCTGTTAATATATTTCAAAATTCAGCAACAATAGTTCATCTACTACTAATAGACTGTGAGTGTGTAAAAATAATGTTGTTCTTTCCTATATTTTAAGAGCCACTTCAGGACTGTCCAAAGAGACTTTAGACTTTCTTATGGTCCACACACACACACCCACCGTCATCTCTTACTCCTCTCCAACTAACAACATTAGCAAAATCTTTCCATATAAATGAATGTCAAATTTCAAAAGTGGTACCAATTCGTAGAGTCTCACATTTATTGACCAACAATATTGTTGGTGCCTTCCTGCCCTGCCCTGCCCCTACCCCCATAACAGGGTTCCCTAAAATCCAGCTGGTTCCACTTAGCAGCTTCTCTTTTTAAAGATTGTCATAGTTTAGCATGAAAGAAACTTGATATATTCCTTTGGCTATAGGCCAAAGTTGCTGCTTTCCTGCTTACTCATTGCCTTTGACACTCTGCTAACAGAAGTCATCCAATCTCAGCCTTCTACCAGGGTTTACACTCCTTTTATGTTTCTGACAAGTTTAACCTCTGCTTGGATACTTCCAGTGATGAAGAGCTCACCATTTCACAAGGTAAGCTATTCAAATTTTTGCACAGTTCTAATCATTAGAAAGTTCATTGTACTGAAATGAAATGTGCCTCTATAATTTCCTTCCATTCACTGGGATTACATCTTTTAGAGCAGCACTGAAAAAGTATATTCCCTCTTCCACATGATAGTACTCCAGATATTTAAAGCCTGAAATCATGCCTTCCCTAAGGCTTCTCTTCCTCAAGTTAACCTTGAGGTGTACTTGTTCCTTCAAACATTCCTCGTATGACAATCTCTGAAATCCTTGCTTTCCTGATAATCCTTCTCTTAATACTCTCTAGTGTTAAAGGGATAGGGACTGAACCATTGATATGGCACCTCCTCTGTAAACCTAGAGATTATAAATTGCTTAGCACAACTCTGTTTAGTGATCTGCCCAGAGTCACACAGCTAGAGTGCATCAAAGGTGACACTTGAGCTCATGTCTCCCTAGTCTGGCAACCAGCTCTCTATCCACTCTGTCGTGATGAATTGAAAGGAGATGTTAAACTTGAAGTTTTCAGAGAAATACATCCAATGTTAGGGAGATAAAAATCTAATTTCAAAAAAAGGGCAATGTGGCAAGTGGATAGAAAGCTGGCCTTAGAAGCAGGGAAGGCCTCAGCTTAGGGCCTCTCTCTTCTATGTGCTGTCTGTGTAACCCTATGTGACCTTAAATTCTCAGTACCCCAGTTACTCTGAAGCAACTCTTTAAGATGTCAGATCAGTAAGAATGTCAGAACAGTAGCCAATGAATGGTATGGAATTCTCACCTCATACCCCCCCCAAAAAAATGTGTGTGTGTCTGTGTGTCTGTGTCTGTGTGTGTGTGTGTGTGTGTGTGTGTGTGTCTGTGCGCTCAGTCATTTCTGAGTCTTCGTGACCCCTTTTGGGGTTTTCTTGGCAAAGATACTAGAGTGGTTTGCCATTTCCTTTTCCAGCTTATTTTACAGATGAGGAAACTGAAGCAAACAGGGTTAAGTGACTTGACCAAGATCACAAAGTTAATATGTGTGTGAAGCCAGATTTGAACTCAGGAAGATGAATCTTCCTGATTCCAGGTCCAGCACTCTTAACCACTATACCACCTATATCCACTGAGTATATGTGTGTCTATGTATGTATATGTATCTATGTGTGGATGTGTGGATGTAAGTATGTATGTCTGTGTATGTATGCGTATTATGTATGTATATGTGTATATGCACGTACACACACATACATATAGGTATACTGTATATGTATATACATATGCATACAAACATATAGGTATATGTGTACACATACACATGTGTGTATATATACCTATATGTATGTGTATATATACCTATATGTATATATAGCTATATAACTTAGATTTAATATTAAAAACTAAGATTAAAATTAAAATCTTTCCTCTCCCTTCCCCCAGTCTGTCTTTTAATGAGGAGAAAAGAAATGTGAAGAAAAGATTTATCCATTTTCATGCAAAATAGAAAACTTCTTGTGCATGTCATACTATTTTCCAACATTGTTTTGCAATTAATATGCTTCACCATTCCTGGAAAGGATTGCTTTGAGTCAGCTAGGACAAAGGAGCCCTGGAAATGGAAAGCTGGCAAGAGGCAGCATAGATGTGAGGAAGTATTTTCAAAATCCAGAAAGAAAGAATCCATGGAATTCACTGTATGAGACACTGGAGGGAAACTCAGGTGAATGTGGTTAAATAGTCAGAGCCAAAATTTCAAAAAATAACTTTCAAGGTTATGTTATAAAAATAAGAATTGAATCAGTACGTGCTAACAAAGAGTAAGCACTCCAAAAATAGTAAATACATTTATCAATTAATAAATGAATGACGCAGTAAAGCTCCATCAGCAACTGCCTCAAGTATACACCATTTTCACTAGATCTCTTTTTTATGGACCATACCTTAAACCCAAATCACTCTTGCTCTCATTGATTGGCCAAAATTTGGATTCTGATGGCTCAGAGTGAGTGTAAATAGCAATTGTTTCTCTTTTGGCTAGAAACCGTGGAGGTCTTCCCCTCCCAGATTGATTTTTTGCCTCTTTTACCTAACGTTAATCACTGAATGGGCATTGCCCCCAGACAAACTGAGACCTGAGAAAGCTCAAAAAGGCCAAAGCCTCCCGCTACATCGGGGCCATGCTCTTAATCTTTATCTTGCCACTGGACCCATATGGTTCCTGAGAAGAAAGTAAGGCTGGTAACTTTGCACAGCCCTCCCACACTTAAATCACTTCACTTGCAAATTGTGACATCTCCTTCCTGATGTCACAGACATCAGAATGAAGGACAAACCTAAACAAACAAACCTGTTATTGTTTGGTTTTTTGTTTTGTTTTGTTTTGCTTTGTTTTATGGAGCTCTGGGCCAAACTGTATAGGTAAACAGTGATTACTGGCCTTGCCAATGGGTCGATAGATTAGCTTAAGTTTTATGATACTGTTTTTCATCCCAGCCCTAAAAATCACATTAAAAAAAAAACATTTTCACTTAAAGATTAGGAAAAAAAAACCACTAATGTCATTTATCTTTTAACCTGTCATACATCAACAATATTTGATGAGTAGGCATTATGGTGAGTTGTATCAGATATTGTGGTCTCTGTCTCTAGCAATAAGTAACTTGCTATCTAATGAAAAGACGTGATCAATGCATCTGAAGATGAAAAAATGCAAATGAATATAGAAATTGGGCCTGTGACTCCACCACCACAGGGAGCTCCCAGGGAAGGAAATTCTGTCAGTGCAGCTCAGCACTTTCTATGCTATGTATAGTCTTACAGAGTTGCCTAGTGCACCAAGAGGTTATGAGAGTTGCATGATCCAGTCTTCCTGGATCCAAGACCATCCCTCTATCTAATAGGATATCAAAAATGATTTTTTAAAAAACATCCCCAGCTGTACAACAATGTATGTCTTCACACAAATACTATGCAGTAACTCTACTGAATAGAATACCCGCTGCACCCTGACCCAATGGGAGAAAATGAGCCAGGTCAGGATTTGTATGTGTGTTTGTATGTATGTAAACGTTTCATTATAGATACAGTTTATCAAGTAACAAAATGAATTTTTTTCTCTTTCCCCATTCCGTAAGAAGCCCCAGTTGGGGAGGAAGATTTTATCCCTGGATATTTTTGGCCTTGTTGTATTGCATTGTATTGTGTTTTCCACAGGATAACATCTGTCCAACACAGATATTCGAAAATGGAAAGGAAAACATTGAACAAAAAAGAAAAATACTACTTTGGGTTTGGGCACAGACCACATCAAAAACTCTCTTTCCTGAACCACAAATAAAAACAGATTAAAAAGGAGAAGAGAATCAAAGGTCGTCTCAGTCCCAGCATTCTGTTCTGAGAGTTCCTCTTTCTTCCTCTGCCACTATAGCCCAATCAATGTACAGGTTGTCTGTTCATCTTGCCTTTAAGAAAGCAGAAAAACCAAAAGGGTTGGGAGTTGTTGGGCTTTTCTGTTGTTGTTGCTGTTGTTTGTTTGTTTTTTTTGTTTTGTTTTGTTTTAACAAGCTTTGGGCCAACCTGTATAGCTTAATAGTGATTACTGGCCTTGGCAAAGGTTAGATAGATCAGCTTAAGTTTTATGATACTGTTTTTCATCCCAGTCCTTAAAATCACGACTGACTTTATGAATTTCCCTTCTGATTTTCTGTTCCTGCTGTACTTTTGACTTGCAATAAATTCCCATTACTGCTGCCAACATTTCTTACCATTTGTCCAAGTATGCCCAATTTATGTCACCTGAATTTCCTAGCATTAACACAAAAGTAAAACATGGGAAGAAATTATAAGAGTATTTAGGAATAATCTTCCTCAAAGACACAGTATTAACAAGTGAAAAAGGATGGAAGACTGAAAATCATTCTGGCTTTCTGATTAAAAAAAAAGAATTGTTCAATCAATGCACAAATATTTATTGAACACATATATGCCTAGCATTGTACTCAATTCTATGGGGGTTACTGCTGCTAATAATAACTAACATTTATATATCACTTACTGTGTGCCAGATACTTGCTAAGTGCTTTACAATTGTTATTGGATTTGATCCTCACAACAGCCTTGGGAGGTAGGTGCTTTTACTATACCCATTTTACTGATGAGGAAACTGAGGTAAACAGAGGTCAGATGACTTGCCCAAAATCACACAGCTAGTAAGTGTGTGAGGCTGAATTTGAACTCGGGTCCTCCTAAATCCAGTGCCCAGCACTCTATTCACTGTTCCACCAAACTGCCCCTAAAAAAGGAAGTGTGAGTATCCTACCCTCAGGGAACTGGAAATCTCACTGCCAAAACAAAATGAAAATACAACCAAGAAAAAATTATGCAAGCAACGAATTGCTAGACCATGTGGTGTTGCCTCTAAGCATGGAGAGAAGGGCAAGATTGGGCAAGCTGAAATAATCTGTAAAATCTTAATGGAGGAAGTGAATCTTAAGGTGAGCCTTGAGTGTGTTAATGGACATTTATTAAGTACCTACTATGTACCAGGTGCCATACTGGGTAGTGGGGATATGAAGACTAGGAATGAAATAACCTGTGTTCTCAAGGAGCTTGCTTTCTACATGGAGAGGCAGAAAGATATCTAAGTAGAAAATAAATACAAAAAATACAAAGCACTTAGATGCAGTCTTGTTTGTCCTTCATTCCAAAGAGGACCATGATATCAGGAAGATGATGCCAGACTTGCAAGTGAATTGGATTTAAGTGAGGGAGGGCTGTACAAAGTCCCCAACCTCACTTTCTCCTCCAGAACCATCTGGGTCCAGTGGCCAGATAGTGATCAGAATGACTGGAGATGACCCCCAATGCAGCAGGAGACCTTGGTCTTTTTAAATGCTAGCAAAATGTAGGCATTTGGTAGTTGACAAAAAACAGCCGATTACAGCCTCCTTTTCATGCCCCTGGCATCTCCACGTGACTGATTTTTAAAAGAGTAACCACTGCACTTACATGGGGTCTACATTGACAAAAGT